ATGATGTAAAATTTCATTAAACAAAGTAATATGAATTCAACGGTGGTTGTTGTATTGCAAAATGTAATCTTCAAATTGGTTGTTTAGGTTACCAAATATAAACCTGTAAAATTGGTTAAAAAAGTTATAAGAAATTAAAAAGAAAAAAAAAAACTTTTAAGCATTCACTACTTTCAATAGACCAGTAGAGATCAGCAGTGTGTGTATATATATCCTTTTCACTTTCTTTTGTCCTTTTCCTCATCTCAGTTTTTCCTTCCCATTGAACAGATTCTTTCCCTCTCACAATTGTGCTTTATTTGTGCATTTTTTAAAATTTTTGTTGTTTGAGACAGGATCTTGTTATGTAGTTCAGGTTGGCCATAGATTCACCGTAGCCCAGGCTGGCCTTGAACTTGCAGTGATCCTCCTGTCTCACCTCCTGAGTGCTGAGATTACATGTGTGTACTACCATGTATTTTCTTTTTCTTTTTTTTTTTTTTTGGCGGAACTGGGGATTGAACTAAGGCCCTTGCGCTTGCCAGGGAAGCGCTTACTCTACTGAGCCATCTCCCCGGCCTTGCCATGTACTTTCTTTTAGTGCCAATGAGGAGGACAGGTTGTGTAAAGTTCCCTGAAGGGGCCAGGTCTGGGTGGCCAAGGCCAGGAAGCTGCGGGCCAGTGTTCTTGAGGGCACAAGCATCCTCCAGGGCTTCGGCTTATGGGCAGCCTCTCTGCTCTTTCCAGGAGCAGGGCCCCATGGAGTGTGTTTGAACGAGGCGCCTGGTGGCATCTCCCTGTCTTTCTGTCCTTCTGCTCCAGGGCTGGGTAGGGAATGGGGATGTGAGTGTGGCTGGGGTCCTGCTCTGTGCATCCTTATCATTTTGTCTGAGGGTGCTGACCCTTGAAGTATTGGGAAGCATTCCTGGTCCTTCCACTGTCCTTGTGGATAGGCCAGCGTGGCAGGCCAGCCCCCAGAGGCAGTCCTTTTGCCACAGGAGTGTCCCTGGGGTGCAACCTCATGTTACCTGGTGCCAGAACACATATGGCTGTGTCTGCCACACATCCCCTGCTCTATGTCTGATGTCTGGGTTTGCGTGTTCTGGACTTTGGAAGTATGTAGAATTGCAGAATACATGGCTTTTTGCATCTGGCTTCTTACACTGAGCACGGTGCCCTTGAGGTCCGTGCGCTGTGTATTGTGTGCATGCGCCATACTTTCTTTCTTTCTTCTTTTTTTTTTTAAAGTGATACCAAGGATTGAAATCATGGCCTTCATACTAAGCTGCATCACAGCCCTTTTTATTTTATTTATCTCTAAGTTACCCAGACTGGACTCAAGCTTGCAATCCTTCTCCCAGTGTGTAGGAATTACAGGCCTGAGCTGCCATACCTGACACTTCATTTCTTTTTATGGCCAAGTAATACTCCATTGCATGGCTGCTGTTGGCTTTTGTGAGTAATGCTGTTGTGAACTTTCACACAAATGTTTTTCTTTGAACTTAGGTTTTCGTTTTCCTTGGGTATATAACACGTTTTGTGGTGCTGCTGATGGAACCCAGAGCCTCACGCAAGCTAGGCACGTACTCTACCACTAAGCTACACCCCACCCCGTACAAGAGGTTTCTTTTTCTTAGCAATATTTTATTTCTGTTTTTATATAGTTGTGGCTGCATACCTGTCACACTGATGAAATATGAGGTACCTGCTTGTGCAGGGCAGTTTTGGGGCTTGCAAGTACGGGTAGCCTGGGAGGCCCTTGTTCTAGCTCTGTGTGGGGTGCCGCCTGAGGAGGATGTGATTATGGCTCACAGTTTAATTGCCACAGCGGAGGTCAGTACAGGCTGGGCCAACCTCAGGGGCCCTGGGGGTAGGGCTGAGGACATGCTCGGGCGCCCTCCGTGTCATGGGGCCACGCATCCTGGGGATGCCGTGAATTTGTGACATTGGTCGTTCTAGTAGAGATTGGTGGGTTGAGATGGTTAAACTGAAGGTTCGGCTCTTTAAGATTTTGGCATGAGTTTTGCTGAGAAGCCTGAGGTCAGGAGCACAAATGGAAGGTATGACAACATGTAGCCCAGCTGTTGCTCCACAGTGGCTCAGCCAGACTTGCCTGTTGTGTGGGTGCTGCCTGGGTGGGGGGCTGACCTCAGGCAAGGTGTGTTGGCTACCTCCACCCAGGCAGCTACTTGCCCTCTGGAGGGGCTCCCGGCATCCCCACAGTAGTTCCTCCAGCCCAGCCCTGGAGTTGTCCTCCACATTCTACCCTGGCCTTCCCATGGCTGCACAGAGGTCTGGGGCTCACAGGGTCAGAGGTTGCCTTGATTAGAGCTGGAGCCAGTGTGATTGCCCAGGGGCCTATAGGCAGGCAGAGCTGGTGGGGCCCATGCCCGGGCTGGGGGTGGGGTGGGGTGCGAGAGGTGGGGTTGCTGCTGTTAGCTGCCTCCTGGGGTGGAGCAGTGCCTGCTGGCCAGCATCCCTGCCTCATCCCCTCAGGTCTCAGTGGCCTTCTCAGTGGGGTTATGGGGCAGTGCCTTGTTTAGCTCTGCCTGCAGCTGCTTTCCTTCCTCTGAGCAGCGAGGTGCTTGTTTCTAGGTGGTTCCCAGGCTTCCTATTTCTCCCTCCCAGGTGGAGCCCCACACAGAGCCTAGATTGTCCTGGGACATGGGGGTCAGGCAGGCTGACCTGGCCCTGCCACCCATGTGCATGGGTTGGGATCCCTTTCAGTGGAGTTAAACCGGCAGTCATGGGGAGGTGCTGTTTATTAGGATGTTTTCAAGATTCCTATTCAGAAGGAGAGAAGTTGTCTTTTCTCTGTTTCTCCTGGGGTATAAAAAGGATTCCCAAAGGCTTAGAAAAGCTGAGCCTTCTACTACTCAGCTGGGCATGTGTTGGCAAGAGGTGAGGAAGATGCTGTTTATCATGCCGTTGGGGCCGAGCATTTCTGCACTTTGGCAACAGCTCCACCACTTTATCTGGAGAGATTTGCCCTGAGCCATGGTGAGCAATTGTCTGACGCAGCCAGCTGAAATCCTGGGAAGTGAATGAATGAAACCACCATGGAGCAACAGCCCTGGCGGCCTGGCTTCCTGCAGTTCCCAGCACCAGGCACATCCCTTGGAGAGCACTCTGGTGTCCTGCCACTCCTGGGAAGTCCAGTCTTCCAGAGCCAGGCCTTGGTTGCCTTTCTCCTCTGGAGGGTCAGCTGGGTCTGATCAAGGCTCGAGGGCAGGAGGAAATTGTGCTGAGCGGGCGGAGCGGTTTCGCCATGGGCCTGTCAGACCTGAAGGCAGAGGGCTGGGTGCCCTGTGCATGACGAAACTTGCAGGTGCATTGTGCTCGGTGATCACATGTTTCCTTTGATGCACTTGGCTTCGTTTTTATCCACCTGTTCATTAGTGTGGGTTAGGCGAAACAGGTGAACTCCGAACAAGTCCTGTCGAAACTAGGATTTTATTTCCCTGGAAGCCTCGTCTTCCCTAGTCCTCCCTCAGTGATAACTTTTGACTCTCGTGGGAGGGAAACCAGTGTTTAGCAGCTTTGTTTCATGGAGGCCCCTTTTACTCTCACTTTGTAGGATACTCTGGTTTAGTCCCACTTTGAGCATGAGGATTAATGCAAATTGAGGCAGTTTGAGGAAGGAAAACGCTATTAAAAATAAACACAGCTGTCCTTTAAATGCGCCATGTCTGTGTCTGTGTACCGACTGAGAGTTACGGTGTTGAAGGGTTTGCCTCGCAGCTGGCCACCATGTTCCCTAGGGTGTCTGGGGATGGGGCAGGAACAGATGCTGCCAACTGGGGCAACTGGTGGTGGGAAAATGGCCGTGAAACAGTGTTCTGTTTACTATCTGCTTGGATTGCAGCTTCTCTACCTGAAGTGTCTCCCCCCCTTTTTTAAAAAAAATTTTTTTATTGTTGACAGAAGTGGAAGTCTTGTTAAGGGGAGGAGGCACAGATAGCATTACGAGCCAGGAAAGCCCAGGATGACCAGTGCCCGCAGACTGGCCCTACCCCATTGTGTGGGCCCCTGCAGAGACAGGTGTTGAAGCCTCTCTGTTTTCTGTGTATGGTGGAAGGAAGAAAGGGAGGCAGGGGCCCAGGTATGGGTGGCCGTTGCCAGCGTACCTGCCTGGGCAGGTAGGAGTGGCCAGCAGCGTGTGCGTCTTGGAC